GAAAGGCTATGTTTGGTGAGAAGTGATATGTTTAGAAGGGGTTGAAGAACATGGAAGCCCCTCTGGACACAACCTAACTGAAAGACATGAGTTTACCTGTAAAGTACTGTACGCGTTTTATTTATTACTCCTTTCCAGAATTGCAAACAACTACTCAGACAAATTTGTGCGTCATTTACTTATCCATTAATTATTATAATAATATATAATCCCAGAACATGCTCACATCAGTGCTCATTTTATTTTGTACAACATGTACTGCACTTTGTCTCAAATTCTCAAAATAATAAAATGGTGGGTGGGGGCATTATGTATCAACCAAACCCATACATATATACGTATGCCACTTTCTCAGCTTATAAGACTTTCCCACCATAATTAACCAAAAAAAATTATTTATTTATTTTTTCTTTTTGTCGAACTAAATACTTATATGGTTCGCAGTCTCTCCCACATACACGAATATATGCGTGTGCATGTGTATAGATGCACAAACTGTAAAAACATGCTGCTAATTTTACGATTGTGAGAGGACTCATTAACAATTAAATTATATAAACGGAATTCACCTGGTGATCATTTCTTTTCTTAGTGACTTTCCTATTCTTTTATTTTCTTAATTAACCACGATCTCATTGAACAATATAAAACTTGGTTAAATAAATTCTACACGACAACATGGATACCGGTGTCTTGCAATGTTCAAGTCAATAACTGTTGTGCTGATTCTCATAACTCGTGTCTCGTCAAAATTACCCGGAGAATTAGCCAACTTTCTATAGCCTTGTTTATGCTATAACTAGCGCCTTCATTTATTTCATAACCTTTTGCTGGACTAATATGTACTTTATGTTAACCGACAAAAAGCATATAAATTTTGAAATTAACTTCACATAGCGAAGTAAACTTCAAGACTAAAGTGCTTGAGTAACATAAATTAATTGGCATCGGGTTTCTTCTAAAATAAAACCCTTTGTGTTTTCATATGTGCGCATATATGTCAATGAGCTCCCTTATCAATTTAACATTTTCTGAACACTTTGCATTTCCTATAATGTAACTCCACACGCTGGCATGAATTCGGAATACATTTCTTCAAAAAAAAAAAAAAAATTCCGGAATCTATCTCGTCATAGTTTTTTGATGAAAATTAATTTAATAACAAAGATAAGGATTCTCCAGAGGGAAACTAATATAATGTCAATAAATATTTTTTATTTCAAATTTCAAAAGTTTGTTGGAGAACTAAGACTATTTTTATTAATATCTATATAAAAAGGGGGATTATAATTTATGAGAAGTTATTAATTATTAATTCGATTAGTCAAGGATAAGTAGATGTATTTTTTATTATTAATCTGCCGCAGATTATTTTTTAAATCTCCAAACATTAAAATGTTAGTTTTGTTGCTATTGTAATAACCCGTTTTCTTACCAAAGCTCAATGTACAGAAACGCCAAAGTGAATGTGTGAGCGAGCTTATACACTATAACATACATACATACATACATACATATACATATAACTTTATCTTTTAAACCACAGGTTTTTGATAAACTCAATATGGAATCTTGATTAAAATTTTTAACTACATGATTATAATAATATTCATTGATGAAACAGACTACCTCACAGAATCTAACAATTTTTCAGTTGTCAATATTAATTGACTGCATGAGTGTTAATTTACTTAATCATTGTTAAAGTGTAATCCAATAATAATAGCCTACATACAACCCTTTTTAAATCACTGGTGTAATAGCTTAATAACAACATAATTTGAATGTAGGCGTTATAGCTTTATCAGACCATATGATCCATCATGCCTTAGCATAAACAAGAATTATCTTAAATTATGTCATCAAAAACTTAAAAAAAAAACAGAGAGTTTGAGAGGGAGAGAGAATTATCTTATCAATATATGCAACAAAAATAGAAATATAAAATCAAAATCAAACTGCGTCAAACCACAGAAAATAGACAAGGCAACCATATAGTCTACATAACCAGCACACGCCATGGAAACCCAACAGATCATACAGGGAAGTAGTAGTAGTAATAATAATAATAATAATAATAATCGTCTAACCATAACTGCATGAAGGTTGAGTCACTTGGTCTTACAATATTTATATAATAACCATAGTTAGTTTACCTAACAATAGTTGAAAAAACCATCTTTAGTTTACTAAGCAATATATATATAGTTTTGTCTTGGAAGGATACTAAAGTGGGAAACAAGTGAAAATGGGACGATACAGAGCAATTCCTCATTGAGGGGAGAAAATGGCTTCCACTAATAAAGGGCCAGGCAAGGTTAATAATTCTACACTCCTCTCCCTTTCGTCTAATTAATGTGGTGCCTATATTTACCCATAGCCTAGCCCTGTAATCACTCCTATGCATATATCCAGATTCAAATTTGCTCGAAAGCGCACTTTATAGCAGCCCTTCCAATTACAAGGTTTTGTTTCGTTCTTTTTTTTCCCCCTTGAAACTTCCACTGTATATATCATAATCTCTACAAATTTATTAATAAAACACGTCGTGGGAGATAGGAATAATATCTCATTATTTTAGATTGTTAAGAAATTGAATTGTGAAATCTTTTCCTATCTCTCAATTTCAGACCACCTAATTACTACTAATGAATGTGTAGCTTTTTGATAAAGAGTTCAGCTAACATAACCAATCACATCAAGTTCAAATATTCATTAGGAGAGTTTTGTGACTGTTGTAACTTGCTCCACTAAGTTATAGTTGGAGTATGTGTATCTAATGAGCTTGCAACTTAACTGGTTAGATATTGTGCTAGCTTATTTATAAATCTTGAGTTTGAACCTTGAGTATGCAACAACATTAAATATTTATTGAGAGAGCTTGTCACCCTTATGATTCAACTTGCTAGCTTAATCCAGATTAGCCGAAAGACTCCAAACATGGGGGTGCACATGCATAAAAAAAAAAAGCCATGCGGTTCATTTTCATTGATAACTAAGTTTGAATTAACATATAACTAGAAGTTTTGTTTTAATTAACAAGCTGATTACATTTTCACTCTTTTATTCAAAATTTCAAAACTTCAATTTGATGAGAATTGTAATTATTGTTTCATCTCTTATACTCAACCAAGGAAAGACAAAAGAAAAGTAATCTTCATGTTAATATTTATTCAATTATGAGGGCTGGCTTTGGTTAGGGTGTCATTATTAGCTATGTTGGGGTGGTGGGGCCTGATTTTGGCTGAGTGAGGTCTACATGTTGGTGCTTATACTGGACACAAGAAAGTGATTTAAGTTATGAATGAGTTTGCAAGATATTTTTTTATGATAATTTTATTCATAATTGATCGACAAAACCATCGCCTGAAAGGCTTAAACAATTCCAAGTCTGGAAAGGGCAACACAATCTTCCCTTTCTCGTCCCCTTAATCCCTCTCAGATTATCCCCTTGCATGTACTAAACTAGTGTCACTTCCTTTTGTTTCATTCATTTTCTTGGGAATCTGTCTTCTTTTTTGGCTGCTTTAACATGTACTCACGGGACAGCTGTTATTCCCATAACAAGAATCCTCCAGCAAATTAAATGCTCTTCCTTTCTGTAGTTAATTAATTAGATATATTTAATTTCTTATCAATCCTATTAACTATAACCCATGTCTAATCAATGAAAAACACCATTCCCCCACTTGGTTGTTAATTGGAGAGGCAGTGTCCCCATTAATCCACAAATTATTGGTTTCAATTAACTCGATCGTTAACTGATGAAAATGACTTGTTTATAATTTTGCAAGCCTAATTTACTATACTCTTTAAGTGGCATATGTGTATAGTAATTTGTGCCACCACCTATATATTAACTAAGTCTTTCAACCTCATGCTCCTGATTTTAAATGTTGGTTAATGATCCAATGTACGTGCGTTATATAATTTATGTAATATAAATGCAATGAGCTTATGTGACACGTTTAGGCATACATCCCTGTTTTGATGTAAGAAAATTACAAATATATATGTCGGGTAGTGTCAGATGATTCTTGCTTCCAAGTTTTGAGCCTTCTTCAGCAATAGAAAAAAAGTTAATCAAGAGCTAGTATCTATATAAAAAATGTTATCTTGCAATAAAGCTGTAACAATGAGTAAACAATAATTAATCCAGCTATGATTTGATTAATTCTATTCTGATAATCATATGTACACTATATTCTCAAGGTCAAGAAAAGTCGAACTATTTGCGGCTACCACAAATAAGGTTCTAATAAATGCATTATTATTGTGAAAAGAAAGGACAAAAGAGCAGATAGAGCCAAATGGTCAAGCAAACGCAATTGGGTTTGGTAATTACTAATCAATGCTAGCCCTTTTTTTGTCGCGTTAAAGGTGTTGAACAGAATCTCATTTTTCTGACAACATAAAAATAATAAATGAGGCTAACTTTTTTTATGTTTAGACAAATTATGATTAATGTATGTCTTTTTGAAAAATAAATTATCAACCCATGCTTTATATAAAATTGATTGTGAGTCACGCTTGATTGTTAATTTTTTATCTTTAATTTTCTTTTGACATTTTGATAAATATATAGTATTGTAATTTTTCCAATTTATTTTTATCAAAGAAATACAGTGTAAAATTCTGATATAATTATAAATACGATGATAAAAATAAATAATCTAATTTATGGAAGGAATAATGCTATTTATGTAAGAAGTAATTAATAAAATAAATTAAAAAGAAGTTGAAAATCATTTTTAAGATAACAAGAATATGAAGTATTACTTAAAACTAAAATATAAAATAAATTTTGTCTAATTTATTGAATAAAATTTTAGCATGGTGAGATGGTACCTTTTTTTTTATTAGTATAACAAGCAACACTGTAGGCCAATAAGGGAACCTAATGTAATTAATTATTCCTTATTCTAATCCACCCCTCCTCTTGCTTTGGTGTATATAAAGATAGTAATAAATGATTGTGAATTGCACAAGAGCCAGAAACAACCAAAACAATAGGAGCTAGCTCCAAAACCCCAAAATTAAACACCCCCAAATTATTAAGATGACTGGTTCTGGTTCTCCCTGTGGAGCCTGCAAATTCTTGAGAAGGAAATGTGTGAGAGGCTGTGTTTTTGCACCTTACTTTTGCCACGAACAAGGTGCATCTCATTTTGCGGCCATTCATAAGGTTTTTGGTGCAAGCAACGTCTCTAAGCTTCTGGCTCACCTCCCTGTAAGTGACCGCTGTGAAGCTGCAGTGACCATCTCATATGAAGCTCAAGCTAGAGTTCAGGATCCTATTTATGGCTGCGTTTCCCATATCTTCGCCCTCCAACAACAAGTCTGTTTCGACGAGCCGGCAGTGATTTACTTAATGAAAATTAAACCCTAATCTGATCTGTGCTTGGAATTTTAAATTGAACACATTTACTCTTGCTTTGAATTTTGCAGGTGGTTAATTTACAAGCTCAGCTGGCTTATCTGAGGGAGCAAGCAGCTCAGAGCCATATTGTGAATGCCTCTGTCACTGAAAACCCTAATAAACCTACTGCTTTCACCGATCATGATCTTCAAAAGTGGTTCCCGACCGAGGATCCCACCAACACTGGGACTCAATTTCTTCCCAGCTCGTCTGACATCAATTCCCTTGCAACACAGTACTACGGGAATTACACTACTCCTTTCGTGGATCCAAACCCTATTGGGAGTTCAGGAACCATTGAAGAAAGTGCTTCATTTTCGAGCTTTCATGAGGAAACCAACTGTAACTCCATGTCCTTAGACATGCAAGCAAGCAGTAGGCAGTGGAGCTTTCGTGAAGTGGACGACCTTCAGTCAGTGGCTTTTGGTTACAGTGGATGATGACCATCAGCTTCATGAAAAATTAATGGTGAACGACACTCAATTTTGAATGTTATAGCTTCTGCATATATATTGTGAAGCACATATATGCATTAGCCCTCCTTCTGTGTTGCCATATATAGATAAGCTAGGAAGCCTAGGAAATTTCGTATATCTTTGGAATGTTGGAGATCCACCCCTAGTTAACCTTGCTATGTTGATATTAATTAGTAATGTAATTCTTACGGGCAACTAGAAAGCTCTGGTTTTAAATTCTTTCAGCTAAATTGGCTTTTTAAATGGACCTATAGCAATAATCTTAAATTTTAGCCTGATGAATACAGTCACCTAGTTGATTTTCTCATACACTTTACCTTTCTGATATGCACACGAGAACTTTGGATTGACATTAGACCCCTGAACAAAGTAAGCATGATTATCCCTTAGTAAATTATTTAACAAAAACATATGTGGAGCAAAGTTGCTCTTTCTTTTTCCTGTAAAATAAGTAGTCCCTGATTATCTATAAGGCAAAAGGCACTTACAGAAAGAGCGTCAGATGTCTACTTGGTTGACTGAATTGGTGCAACTTGCTATATATACTTGCAATATTTTTCACCGTGAACTGATGAGTGCTCTGGTATGGAGGCACGTTTTGGTTGCTCAATCAAAAGGGTGTATTATTTCTTCATTTCCTCCATTCCACCTTTGTTTTCAGCTACTAGAAAAGCGTAGCGTATTTGATTAAAATGATCACGTGACATAGATGTATATATGTATAGAATGGTACAACATGAAAGCACAACCTTCTGCCATATAAATACGTTCTTTGTATTTATTTTGGGATATTATCTCGAAGGCAACTCGGTTGTTTTCCACATCCGAAGTGTTTTCGCCAATGTCTGACGACTTGCCTATCACATGTACTTGTTTAAGAATGAGTTTATCATCTCCAAAGACGAAAATAATTATATTTGCACCTCGTGTGTCATAATATCCCTTGCCAGACGATATCCCCAGTCAATTAGTTAATTATTGGTTAATGTTTTGATGGCTTCATTGGTTAATCGGGAGATGATGACAAAATTAAACAAGAGGTTCATTTCGTTTAGGAAGCCGTCCGTACAGATTCCAAAACTGCTGAGTCTGCAGGACTCTGGCCAATGTGAACTCCTTGGTAACGTTTACATTGACGACGAACTTCAATGCATCTTAATCTTTGATTCACTTATACCAAGCATATCATTACATTACCATTGATAGGGTTCGTCTGACTAATGACTGTCTGAGCTAGTGCTTGCAGCATCTAGGATTATTCGATTCTCACCGCGCTCCTCAAATCCAAAGAGGAAACAAGTTGCTTTAAACTATAGCGAAGCTGATCGAAGGCTGTAGACCCTTCGTTGTAAATCGTAATGATCAACTCGAAACCTCTGGATACTCATATACTCAGTTTTTTAGCTTGCAAATTAATTGAGGCTGCAAACATACAAAGAAGAAATGAAGAGAGCAGGTACTTCCATGACCATCACCTAGAATTCTTGAATCATTTTCAGAACAAATGCCAAGGACTACAGGCGGAGAATCGATAAAGTTTAATCATGGGCAAACGAGCGAGGATGTGATCTAACTCTGAAATTACTAAAAAGCCCTTCCGTTATTTTAATATTACCCTCAGTTTTCCCTTTGTACGTACATTCAGGCATCTACTCCAATCCATCTGTCCAAGGATCAATGGCCTCCATATACATGACTTAATCTATAACTTCAACTATTATTTGCTTCAGAATGTTGTGTGACGTGTGTGTGTGTGTATGAGAGAGAGAGAGAGAGAGAGAGGGGTATGACATCTCGCAAAAAAATGTTGGAATAAACAACATATTTAATACCAAATAAGGATTAAAAAATTAAACATCACCACGTGTGAGAGAGAGAGAGAGAGAAAGAAGTACGACAACTCGCAAGAAAATGTTGGAATAAACACCATATTTAATATCAAATAAGGATTAAAAGATTCTTAAATATTATCACAAAATCAAGGGACTGATTGAAAAATAATTTTAGAGGGGAAAAGAAGACTATAATGCCCAGCTTTTTTTTTTAACTTGTCCAACTAGTGAATAATTTTTTGTTAAATGCAAATTAGTACTTGTTGAAACATAATTCACACAATCAAGTTCTTTTAAATTTTTGAACTCATTAATTAGTCAATAGCTTCTTGTTAAATACATATGGATACTTGTTAATTCATGAATGACTACTTATTAAAACATATTCTATACTTGACCCTTCCCACAATCAAGTTCTTTAGAATTATTAAATTTGTCAATTAGTGAATGGTTACTTGTTAAAATATTATATACAATTATTTCTTCTTACAACCAATTAGCAAATAGTTATTTGTTAAATTTTATTTTTAAAAGAGAGTTAAGATGAAGTTAAGAGCCACCCTCCTAGGGCGGTGAGTGCCCTCTAAGGTGAGGGTGTTGAGATGGTAAGGGGGGTCACAAGGGGGGAATTTTTTACTATAGTTTTTCTGGCAAAAGTTGAAATAGGTTCTTTTATATTCTTAAACTTATTAATTAGTAAATAGTTTCTTATTAAATGTGAATAGATACTTATTAATTTATGAATGACTACTTGTCAATTAAAAAAAAAGGCAAGAGTATTATAATCTTTTTTCATATAAAATTAATTTCAAATCAATTTCTTGATTATGATGGTGATATTTTAAAATCTTTTGGTTCTTGATATTAAATACCCTCAGTGGACCTTGAAGGATTTTCCTAAAAATTAAGATCGCAATTGCAAAATTCCCCAATAATTATGTATGCAAGTTAATTTTGACTTGCATTTTTAGTTTTAGATAACTTTGTTGCAACAGTCACACCCCTTTGAGAATAATAAACAACGCTTTTAATTTGTAAGCACTAGTGTGACACTCGAGTCCATGTGTGTGATGAAGTGCTCTTGCTTGCCCTCTTGGTTTCTGGTTCTACTAGATTAGTGCTGTGGTCCTTACTCTCACAATCACTTATTTTACAATAACTTCAAAGTTGGCTCCCTTCCCCACTTGTTTCGCAATATTCCCTTTTCATTTCCAGTATGTTCTTTATATATATATATATATATATATATATAAATTTACAGGTAGAGGTAGCTACATTACAACGCCATATCCTGTTATGCAAATGCTTGCTTTTGCTTTTCTTTTTTGCTCTTCGCTTTTTTTAATCATCGAATCTAGCCAGCTAGCTTTTGAGTTGTATTTGACTAATCCTCAGGTGTTTTAATTAAATATTAGTACCCAAAAGTGCCTTTGTGTGTATAAATCACTTTTAAATTCCAGTGTTTATATTTGAATATAAGGTTAGATGGCAAAAATATCTTAAAACTCTTGTGAAAGACACTTGATATCCTAAACTTTTATTTCAAATAATTTTGATTCAAAATTTTTTGTAAAAAAAAAAAGAAGCAATTTTGCCCACCATTAAATCTTAAAAATGCTTGACTATTAAAAATGAAATTTGACTAATGGGAGGACATGTGTTGCCACGATACTGGATCTGGGTCGTTGAACTCTGGTTCTATCCGATGTCGAATTCAACGGCGAATAGGGGAGCAACTATGAGGACGAAGGCGAGACCCAAACTTGGACTAGTGGAGATTTGGGCACGAAAACAAGTCACAATTGACTATACATACTTAAAAAATATAAGTATAAGTGCTTGCTGAAGGGGACTTGGGCTTACGACAAATCACATAATTGCTTCTGGTCATTTACAAGAAGTCGTGGACCTGGCAAATGTAGGGGATGCTAGCATGCATCAGGATAAAAAAACGATTGAGGTCATTAGATCCATTTTGCAACGAGATTGGCAAACCTCGGCGACTCATGTTCTGCACGCTGCAAAGTGCAAACAAGGTGGCGGATTTTCTTGCTCACAAAGCTTTGTGTCAGTAGCTTGGTTTTCATCACAATAGTGACCCTGTTGGGATACATAGCTTCCTGGAGGTAGACTGTTTAAGCAATAGCAGCTAGGGAGTTGCTCTTTTATGTATAAAAAAAGAAAAAAGAAAGCAGAAACATAAAGATGAAAGAAAGGACTACTCTTCTCAAACAAATGCCTTGATTAGTCGTCACTTAATGGAAAAGTGATCGGACTCATTATCTTTCATTCATCATTACTGACAAGAAACCATATGCAAACCTCACAATCCAAAAATAAAATAACATAAAAGATCATAACTACAAATACAAGCGCTGGAGAAAAATTGAAACATGAAACAACCAGCAATATAGGGTTGAACATATGAACTCGAAACCTGGTCAACCCGATTCTTTTCAGAAATCAAACTTCAAGAAGAGACCATACCATCCTGGCCAAACCAAACCATTGGGTAAGACCGGGTTTAAGTCTGAGCTTCAAGGCTAATTACTCTGACATGGTCTAGGTAAAATCTATTTTTTTTTAAATATATATATATATATATATATGTAAAACAAAAAATAGCATCTTAGGTGGAGGATAGTAAGTAATACTGATGGTGTCTTTTCATTCTACAAAATAGGTTTCAAACTCGTCATCCACTAAGCCCCCTTTTTCCATCCATGTCACCCCAACCTTTCCCTTTCCTCCTTCTCTCTGGAGTTCGCACTCGACCTTTAGTTCTTTGCATCTACGACCTTCTTCTACCTATGTTGTTGCCTCTCTATTTCTTCTAGTCTTCATCTCTTCTCTGCCTTTTAATCTTAGTCTTCAAGTTCAATAGTATCTTCCAGATCTGTTGAAGCCAAAGATGAAAACCCCTCACGAGATCTGTTGAAGCTACAAATGAAGACTTTGGTACTGTTTGCGTCGTGTGGTTTTTATTCTCTCTTGCGTATGGTTTTGATTTTGGGAAGAGTGTAAAAATTTTGATTGTTGTTGTCTGTCAAATGCTTTTCTTCATCACCTACTTATGAATATTGTTGATGAGGTTGGGAGAAGAGAAAAGTAAAGAAAGCTTTAATTTTTTATCCCCAGATTTGTTTGGTTTGTGTGAAATTTTAATGTGTTTTAATTTTTGTTTCAATGATTAGATAATGGCATATTGTGTGATCATCTTCATTCCTTTTCTTCTTGTATATATAGAAACATCCCAGGTTATATAGAAAAAAACAAAGAAAAGAAACAACTGGAGTTTCATGGTCAATCATCTCAATCATCTACTTAAAAAATTGCCAAGTCTAATGGACCGTTCTAGTAACCCGACAAACCAAGTCCAGCCCAGTCTAAGTCCCGGGTTTAGCTAGACTGGATTGGTCCTCAGACAAAAAAATCAAAGCTGATGTTTTTCCAGACCAAACTTCGAATTGATGGCAAACCTAGTTCAATCAGGTCTTTCTGCAGCCTTACAGCAATCGAAATGCGTATTCAGAATCACCTAGCCATACTGTCCCCAAATAATAACTCACGCCCTTCAATTCGAGAAATAGAGAAAAGATGACGAAGAAATAGAGAAGTGATTGGAGGAGGAGGAGGAGACGAAGTTGAAGAAGGAGAAGCAGAGAAGAAGTGGGTTAGCAAGGAAGCACCAGTACC